TTTTAGTTGTTTCCCTGCTTTGGCACACCTGATTTAAATGAATGAATGATTGGCAGGCTTCTGCAGAACCTAAAAACCTGCTGAAGAGCAGGGAAACAACTAAAACATGCAGAGTAGTGGGTCACGAGGACCTGGATTGAGAACCACTGGTCTAAAGCAGTGATTCCCAACTGTGGTATGTSAGCATATTACAGGGCGTACGTGGAAATTGTTCCTAGGTGTGTAAATAAATGAAAATATGACTGGGATATGTAGAGCCCTTTGATTTCCACAATGTGGAGTTTGCAGATAGAATCACAGAATTAACACAAAATGGAATAGTTTTGGAGAATCATCATTATATTTTGACTGAAGGGGTACTAGTGGTATAACAAAATGACTTAGGGGGTACACAAGTCTAAAAAAGATTGGAGACCACTGGCCTACATACCTGACCCTGACTCAAACCTAACCCCACAGGTACATATCTGACCCTGACTCAAACCTAACCCCACAGGTACATGCCTGACCCTGACCCAAAAACGGGGTGTTTCCATTGTGTTGACCAGTCAAAATATAGTGGTTTGATTAGGTATTCAGTCACATGTTGAAGTGTCCCTGGGCAAGACACTAACCTCCCACTGCCTCTGATGTGTCCCATCAGTGTGTGAATGTGAATGTGATGGGTAAATATGGACACTGATTACAAATAGCTTTSATTGTCCTGGTTGGATAGAAAGGCACTATATAAGTACGYTCCATTTACCATAATGRCAGAARATGTCCACATACCAACACAAAGATATGCAAAGCCCAACCCTAAAGTCTCCTGACTCAGCTCCATAGAAGACATAGTAGGATCAAGAAGCTTCTTGAAACATACTTTCTACTGCTGGAACACATCATGACTGAGATCCACAGCACCCAACCTCCACTGAACACAGTGCTGGTAAGGTGCCGCTTTCCTAGCCTCAGCTGTGAGATGGTTTGTCAAAACCTTCTTGAAGCCCATTGAGAGTCTCTATCCAAGGTCTTACAGAWCCCTTCTGACATCTGAGCCTTTGCCTCAGTGACAACTAGGGCTGCCTCTGTAGTCCAGATAACAGTCTGATAGGACTCTTTCTACAGCTTGACAAGCTTCCTGACTCAGGGTGTCCATCACAATAATTAAGGATGGCTGCCACGAGAGGCACATACAACTTTGTGAACACAACTTAAAGTAGGTGCTTCAAGAATGGAGGTGCCAAACATGGCCCACTTGGACTCACCTGCTTCCACTGGGATGAGGTTGAAGCTGTTTGSATAGGTTGTTCTGTRAGGTGTTCCCAGCAAACCCATGGGTTTATGTAATGTTGGTTAGTGCATAAATAATGTTTTTGTTTTATTAGGTAATTACAGTCTCCTATATTCACACATTAAATTATTCACTCCATGGCAGGAATATAACGTTTTTAACTATTGTTTCTGTTAGAAAACAATGTTACAGTAATATTACCAGCCAATTATATTTAAATAAGAATTTTTAAATTAACAATAACATCATATCAGCAYCTGTTTGAATGTTATAACAATAGTCCAGCTATTTTAGTCAGTTTAAATTTATGGTTCCGATAATAAAACTTTGACCAATTTACACATTTTCTACTGTCACGCCCAAATGTTAGCGATTGGGTAAATCAAATCAAATCAAATTAACTTTATTTATAAAGCACTTTAAAACAGCGGCCACTGACACAAAGTGCTGTACATGATGGGCCAAGAATAATAAAACAAATCAACACTAAAAACACTCAAACACCAAAAACAAGCAAAAGAAAAACAGCTAAAAAGGTCTCAAACTGTGTTAAAAGCCATGAATAAAAATAAGTTTTAAGATTAATTTTAAAAACAGGCAATGAGGAGGCCTGCCTGATGTGTAGGGGTAGCTCATTGCAGCGCTTCGAAGCAGCAACTGAAAATGTTTCATCCCCTCTGAGGGTTCGCTTTGTCCTTGGTATTTTAAGGTGCAACTGATCGGCTGACCGGAGATACTGTGCAGGGGCATGGGGTGGAGAAGCTCAGAGAGGTAAGATGGGGGTAAGGCCATGTAAAGATTTTAAAACAAATAAAAAAACCCTTAAAACCAACTCTAAAATGCACAGGCAACCAGTGGAGAGAAGCCAGAAAGGGTGTGATATGCTCCCTTTTACGTGTTCCAGTTAGCAAACGAGCAGCAGCATTCTGAGCCAACGGGAGCCGTGCAACGACAAAGAAATCCAGCCAAGAGGTGATGAGYGCATGGATTATTGTTTCAAAGTGCTGGTTCGAAAGAAAAGGCTTCAACTTTGCAACCTGTCTGAGGTGAAAAATATAAATAAAAAGCTTGACTTCACCACAGTACTAACTTGACTGTCCATCTTAAAATTACTGTCCATCTAAAAACCCAAGTTGGTGACAGAAGACTTCACATAGGCTACCAAGTGACCCAAATCAAGGTGGGTGGGGGGTTTGACACTGGATCTGCTAGGGGAAAACACGATCACCTCTGTTTTCTTCTCTTTAAAGGGATCCACGATTAGTTGTAACATTAAACTTTATTTGATAAACATTTATTT